TGTGAATAATTCAGAGAATTCGGACTAGCTATTAGGATAGAGAGATCAATGGCACTTTTTGAAGGGCTTTGATTACACCTCACTTTTTACATTTTGCTCATGAATGGAGAGGTTGAGATGCACCTAGTCAACTCACCTGCGACGACGACAATGACAGGATTTAAGGTGGAGAAATCCATCAACCTGGCTTCCATGGCTTTGCGGGACATGATTTCCGAGAAGCCTCTCTTAAACATGCCAAATCAGAACCTTAGCGCTGTACCCGCACTGAAGAAGATCCTGTCTAGCAAGACAACACTTGAGGACGATTTGAACGACGAGACCATGTGGGCATTCTGAGGTATCTTTATCACGTTATTTACACTCAAAAAATTATTCATACTTGTTATTAACGAAAATGTGATTAATGTTATTAACAGACGTGAATAATGGCCTCTGAGGCCTGTGAATTAGTCACACATGTAACTAATTCTTGGAGAATTATTCACGGAACCATGGTCAAATTGTCGCATTTGGTCGTATAACAAGTTCGCGCCGAGTCTCTTTAACCATTCCATGTCAACATTCTTGAACCAAAGTATGAGTGCATGAACTTATTAGTGACTTCGCCGCCGTAACCTCACCACTTCACCTCTAGTACTTCCTTTTCATTCTTTGACTTTTATGTAAAGGCAACTTGATGGGTCGCCGTTTCTTCGAAATCAACCCATCAAATTGATGTAGCCAGTGGATGATGGATGGAATAGAGTAGTGAGTGTCTCCTTATTCCACAAGTTACAACCAAACCACAACATCTGCTCGCAACATTAGCAACATGCCGGTGCCTTGCTTGGCCTAGTCTCTCAAGATCCGAATTAATTGGACAGCAGACGAAGTTATTGAGCCGATGGATATCGATAGAGATAAGAGCTTGGAGGGAGGTCGTTGAACGTGCGTTCACTCTGGCGGGAATCAAGCCAGTCTGTATTCACCTCTGTATAAACTCACAAACCTCAGTTGGTAGGGCCCAGATGCGAAAAATGTGAGCAATACACGAAGATATCGAACTAGGCTTCATGGATGGATATCGAAATCGCCGCGATTACTCAATGAAAAGGATCAGCAGATCCCCGTGCTCAATTTACGGCTCAACCTACGGACATCCAGGCAGGATTTGAATAGGAACAAAACATTACTGCTCTACCAACCCCAGGTACCCTGCGAGATTTCTGCTTGGAATAAGGCAGAAGGTCGAGCGACCGAAATCTACCCGTACCCCTTCAACCTGGACTTGGTCAGTGACAGGACGGGCATTCGGAAAAATGCACGAGTCGAGATCAACGGAAACTTCTCGGCTAAGTACAGAAATACTTCGCTTGAATTTCTTCCAACCAAGGTACACGTTCCCCAGCCTGTCCCCCACTCATCATTCGACTTGGCCTTCAGACTGATAGCGGGTTTAGCAGGGACCACTCGTCGCCGTGTGGCGTTGAGTAGGAATGTTCTACAGACCTAGCCCGGCTATTATCCGCTTCGACGCTGTATAAAGGCTGGAAAATGTTTCTTCTGTTCCACAAGTCAACCAAAACTCGACATCAGCCTTACAACAATCTACAATGTTCCCCAAAGTCGCTCTCACTGCCCTCTCCTTCCTCGCCATTGTCTCTGCGCAGCAGGTCGGCACTCTCACCACTGAGACTCACCCCAAGCTTCCATGGTATAAGTGCACGAAGTCTGGCGGTTGCGCTTCGCAGTCCACTGGTGCCGTCACCCTCGACGCCAATTGGCGCTGGACGCATTCTACCACCGGTTCCACCAACTGCTACACCGGCAACACCTGGGATGCCACCCTTTGCCCCGACGGTACCACCTGCGCTGCAAACTGCGCTCTAGATGGTGCTGATTACTCTGGCACCTACGGTGTCACTGTCAGCGGCGATGCCCTGACCCTCAAGTTCGTCACCAAGGGCTCGAACACCAACGTCGGCTCTCGCCTCTACCTCATGAACAGCGACAGCAAGTACGAAATATTTAAGCTCGTTAACCAGGAGTTCACTTTTGACGTCGACGTCTCCAACCTTCCTTGTGGCCTCAATGGTGCTCTCTACTTCTCTGAGATGGATGCCGATGGCGGTGTTGCTAAGCACTCTACCAACAAGGCCGGTGCCAAGTACGGAACCGGTTACTGCGACTCTCAGTGTCCCCGCGATCTCAAGTTCATTGACGGTGTGGTAAGTTATTATAGTCCCTTATAAATACAATCTCTTTCCTCATCTCCTTCAGGCCAACTCTGCTGGTTGGGGTGGTTCTTCCAATGATGCCAACTCCGGCACTGGCAACTACGGTGCCTGCTGTAACGAGATGGACATCTGGGAAGCCAACAAGATCTCCGCCGCCTACACTCCTCATCCCTGCTCTTCCACCGGCCTCTCTCGATGCGAGGGTACCTCCTGCGGTACCTCTGATCGCTATGCCACCGTTTGTGATCCCGACGGTTGTGACTTCAACTCCTACCGCATGGGCGACAAATCCTACTACGGTGCTGGTCTCAAGGTCGACACCACGAAGAAGTTCACCGTCGTCACCCAGTTCATTTCCTCCGACGGCACTGCCAGCGGTGACCTCGTCGAGATCCGCCGCCTCTACGTCCAGAACGGCGCCGTCATCCAGAATTCGAAGACCAACGTCGCTGGTATGGACGCCTACGACTCCATCACCGGCAAGTTCTGCGACGCGCAGAAGTCCGTCTTCAGTGATAAGACACAGTTCCAGGCTAAGGGTGGCTTGACCCAGATGGGCAAAGCTGCTAAGAACGGGATGGTCCTCGTCCTCTCCATCTGGGATGACCACGCAGTCAACATGCTCTGGCTTGACTCCACCTATCCCACTGACGCTGACCCCTCGAAGCCCGGAGTTGCTCGCGGTACTTGCGCTACCACCTCCGGAGCCCCCTCCGACGTCGAGGCGAACGCACCCAACTCCTCTGTCACCTACTCAAACATCCGCTTTGGTGAGATCGGGTCGACCTACTCTGGCACGTCCACTGGAACTACTTCCGCTGGATCAGGATCCACCACCACCGTCAAGCCTACTACCACCACCACCACCACCGCGCCTGCTTCCACTGCTACTGCTGTCAAATGGGGACAATGGTACGTTCACTGGGTTCTTTGATTATGCGTCGTAGATGGCTGACGGTTTTTTTTCTTCAGTGGTGGAATTGGCTGGACTGGTGCCACAGCCTGCACTTCTGGTACTACCTGCACTGTCCTCAACCCATACTACAGCCAGTGCCTGTAAACGTTCAATAGGCTTTTCGTTGGGGTTTCTCTGGGCAGCTCGTCTCTATACCCTCTACACGAATGTAACTTAACCATCCTTGAGCCTTTCACTTTGTCTGCCTTGTTCGCCCTGACATTTTATTAATTCATGAAACCTCCCACCACTTGCCGTTTTGTGACGATTCCTTTACGCTGTTAACAGCGGACTGGGAACTCCAGGCATCAATCATGAATAACAGAAATTGCGGTCTGAACAGACGATGTTACAAATAAGAAAAGACATCGAGATTCAAGCTTTGAAGGACATGATAGTACAGCATCTCGAAACATAGAAGTTGGGAACTATCAAACGAGAACGCAAATTTCTCAATATTGTCGTCACTTGTTTTGTATCTTTACCTCATCTCTTGGCCTCCCATGCTCCACTAGACAATTACGTTCCAATGTGTTTTTCTCGACGAGGCCTGCGAAAAAAATATAAACCGCTTGACTTCAAAGCAACGGAAGACCTTGAGTGAGGTCTTTCAATATGTTCATGGTTATGGGCCGCATCTTGAGGGCGGCCTTTCCGTCGATGTTTAAACTTGAGTCCTCTTTCAAATCGAGTGTTTATAAGCTTTATGATGTAATACCCCAAGTAATACTACGACGTCCACGATTCAGTGTAATACTCTAGTACTGTCATTAACGTATAATCCAATTCTCTTGCCACGCCTCTCAAAACCCACATTCATGAGTTATTTATGAAGGAACGACCGGCGAAACAAGAGGCAATCGTTCTCCGCTAGAG